CACACCAGAACCCAGGTCCACACACCAGAACCCAGGTCCACACCAGAACCCAGGTCCACACGGACGGAGCTGAAATGTGTGGCAGTAGCTGAGTCAGGCACAGCTTATAATCTAAGTGCTACACATTACACTTTAATTAAAACCTTGGTGTTAACTGTTAGCAAAATATCTCATAAACTGCAATATTTCAATGAAACATTCGGACAGTAATGACTTGATGTTTGGAGTCAGGCCAGTTCAAGATGGCTGCCACAGCTAACTGACCGTAGCTAACACTGAGCACGCTGTAGTGAACGTCACCGACGAGCTTTTATTTGTTGTGGTGGTCGCTGAGAGTCACCCCCAACTCTCCGAGCTCTGAGCCGGCAGAGATTGCAGTATTTCCAAGGTTTGACCAAAATGGCGCCGTCATTTCCATCATATGATCTGGGTCTAACACTCATCGGGCGATCTGCTCCTGTTAACGCAGTGGTTCCCAGTAAAAATAACGCAGTGGTTCCCAGTAAAAATAACAATCCTGCATGTTGTAGTTGTTTCTCTGCTCCAACACACCTGATTCAGTGATTTCATTACTTCCTCGAGTCCTGCAGAAGCCTGCTGATCACCCGTTCATTCACATCAGGTGTGTTGGAGTGGAGAAGCAACTCTATGCAGCAGGATGGTGTTCCTCAAGGATGAGGGTTGGGTACCACTGCTTTCAGGAATTACGTTTTTTGAATCAAAACTTTTTTTATTGCGATAATTTACATTGAGTTGATATTTGTTGTCTCATACAAGTTTCATCACCCCATCTCCAAGGCCAAGGTCACAAATCAAGGTCAACATTTAGGCATGGTTATTGCTTCTCCAGGCCATTTGCTGCACAACAGTTTGTTGACGGTACTCTTGTTTGTTTGTGTTTGTAGGTTCGCCAAAAGCCTCCAGCTGGGCGCAGTAGCAGGCAGCAGCCAGCAGGGGGGCCCAGCGGCGAGAACAACACTGGCAGTGGAGGTGGCAGCACCAGGGTGTCGCCGGCCGGTACCATCAGAGCTCAGAGCGGGCCACAGGGGAGGCCGCCGCTGGCGTCTAACTTCAGTCTGGATGACATCACTGCCCAGATGGAGAAGGTCAGGACACGGTCTCACGATGACACAAACGTTGATTGTTCATTGGAACAATTCTGTCAACACAATAATCAGAACAACTTGTCGGCTCCACCACCAACGTTTTACATTTCATGTTTTGTTCCTGGTTCAGCCTTTTCAGATGGTTCCGTCCCAGCATCATGTATAAAGCTTAGACAGAGAACGACGGTAGATTGTTGACCTTGGTAAGACTTATCTGCATCCTAAGATCGGGGGATCAAGACCCATTGCTGAACCTGGACTCTGTACGACCCCGAGATAGAAATGGCCCCAGGATGTCTCGAACATCACGTGGACTGACCAGGTCTATGTCAGAACCAGAACATCTGATAACAAACGAGCCACTGGAACAAGACTTTAAACTTTGAGAGGAGCCTGAGAACTGAAAGCTTTGCTTTCCATTTTACTTTTGGAAACTCTAGGAACCTCAAGTAAACCTGCAGTGTGGTCCCAGTGTAAGTGGAAGCTTAGAGGAGACTGTTGGTGCCTGTAAGTTATGGAACGCTCTGCCTTTGCACGTTCGACCGGCCCCTTCACTGTCCATGTTTAAAATCCGTCTGAAAAGTTCTCTCTACTCATCGGGGCTTCAACGAACTGACACTTGATTTTATCTGTTTAACTCGTCGTTTATTGGGTTTTAATTCATTGTGTGCTTAGTTTTGTCACTTTAGTTTTATGCTTTCTTTGATCTTATTTGATGTTCAGCGCTTGGGTTCAGCTGTGGCTGCTGTTAAAGTGCTTTATAAATAAAGTTGATGATGATGAGAGCGACGTGCTCTGTTGTGAAATTCACCTCTGCTTGTGTTTTCCTTAGGCCTCTCTCAGCATGGATGAAGCTGCCCATCAGGGCTCCTCCCACTCACTAAGCTCCGCCTCCTCTTTCACGTCAGCCTCGGTGCGACGGCCTGGCTCCTCTCATCGCCAGCATCGACGCACTGGATCAGTGGGCACAGTCAGTGAGCACGAGGTGAATGATGCTGGGATCTTTAAATCACTGAAACGGTGTGGCACAACATGAACCAGCAAAAGAAAATGTTTACTGGGGGCGGAGCTTGCAGAACATAAATACGACTAATGTGAAAATCTGTCAGTCAACATTGAAAAAACGGAACAGATTTGAAAATCTGCCGTTTTTCACTGTGATCAAATATTCACTGCGTTTCTCTGCAGGTCCGCTCTGCGGTCCACTCGTCCCGCTCCTCTGTCACCTCAGCGTCCGGGGTCTCCGTGAACTCCGCCTCCTCCATGGACTCGCTGAACAGCGTCCTCAACTCCGAGTCCGATGGACAGCCGGGCGCAGCTGAAGAACTGGGCCGGAGTCAGCAGAACACAGAGGTGCACGTTAGCTTCTGTTTCCAGTGTCTGAGTCTGTGCTCATGCTCTGCTTGTTTTAACTGGAAAAACTCCGTTTTAGCTTCATCAGCTAATTTCAGCTGTTATAAAGCAGCTAACGTTCCCGCTGCAGTTTAGCATAAAGTCTCGCCAAAGCAACATTTAACCCTCCTTCGGCTGATTGAAGTCTTTCACACGAGCCGAAACAATCAGGATTTCAGTTGGTCTGTCAGTCAGCTGTTTGAGAATATTTCCCATAATCCCTCAGGGCTGGTTTTCAGCAGCGTGGCTGTGTTTTGTTTAACGAGCCTCTCAAACAGCTGCTGAATAACTAGGATTAAGCAGCTGTTCCAGCATGGCAGTCTTTGAACACTTTACTTAAAAGTTACACGTTGTATTAAATATAAGACGAGTTTAAAGTTTCAGATTAATTCAATCATATTTATTTGTCAAAGTTTTAGCTGCTTTAATCCAAGCATGAAAACAACGTCATGCCATAAGTGTGAGCTCAGACTGACTCTTGGTCTGACTCTCAGCTACTACCACACTCAGCTCGAGCTGAATCTCCGTACACAGACGTCTGTGTGGCCTAATGCTGGTTAGGTCTGGCAGCCATCTTGAACTCGTCTGGCTCTGAAAGAGAACGACTTGTAGACGTTTTTCAGGAAGTTTCAATAAAATCCATGCAGAAGGTCACAAGATATTTTGCTAACAGAAAAACAAATGGCAAAAACATTGTCACCCTTCTCCTTGAGAAGTGGAGGTTGAAGCTCCTGGCCAATCAGAAACGAGGACTGTCCTGCCCCGCCCCACTCAACACGTTGAGCTTTTATTACAAACGTTAACTAAAACCTCTCTGAGCAGCTCATCCAGCTCCACTGGGCGTTCGGCTGCTCTCAGGCCAGACTTTAGCTGATATGAGACCATCACATCAGTTTAGCTCCAACGTTTCTTCGCAGTGAGAGGACGAGGAACTGGAAATACTCTGAGAAATTATTTTGCCGTCGTTTGTAAAAGGAAAACTCAGCAGATTTAAATATCAGGATTTCCCATCGTGCAGAAAACGTTGAGACAGATTAAATAAAAAATCGTTAGTTCTGATCAGAAAGATGCTGCAAAACATAATTCAGACGCATCATTCAAATGATCTGTAGATGGTTCTTTATTGATCATATTTAGATCAAATCTTCAGACGGCTCGTGATGGCTCACGTGTCAATTGAATAAACTAAACTTCTACTATTGAGCATGCATCAGGATAAACTTCTGGAGTTTCATTCGGCCTTTAGCTCGTGCCGCAGTGCATTCTGGTCTATTTCCACCTGCACAACTTCCGCACCTTAGAGCAGTTTGTAGGGCAGCGGTCTGGTCCTGGGTCTGGTTCTGTGAAGGTTTCAGTTGTTTCATGTCCACTTCCCCACCTCCAGCCCCATGAACTCACGTGACCTCTCTCTGTCTTTTTAAAGCACTCCTATCTGGACAGGGAAACCTCTCTGATTCTGAGAAACATTGCAGGGAAACCTTCACACTTGCTGACTAAGGTGACACTCTTCTTCCACCTCTGCACCCCCACCCCCACCCCCAAAGTCCTGTCTGTCGTGTAAAATGCATGTGATAATAAGCATGTGGTGATGTGCACGTTGTTACGTTTCTTTCCACACCTTCCTCCTTTCAGTGTGCACTTCTGAGGACCTCTGTCCCGAAGCTTCACGGGGCTCCGCGCTACGTGTGCGTTTATTTAAGTCAGCATCCTGTGAAGTCTTCTATCTGCAACTGGTCTTTATTTTTCTGTTGGGGGAATAAAAATCTATAAAATTCAGTTCCATGTTAGTTTTGGCCAAAGCTACAAAACGTCGCTCGTTGCCGCAGCTTTCAAACTAGAGCCCGACAGATATGAACATTTCTGATACAGATACTGGGCGAGGCAGGCTGATGCCAGTAACCAGTATAATATATACATCATGGCTGAAAATCTTTGAGCTTCGTCCGTCTCCAAGAATCTACGTAAACATGGAGTGGAGCGGGACTTGTTTATTTAGCACAGCTGTTAGCAACCATGAAGCTAAGCTAATCAGATCCACGCTATAACTGGTCCCACAGCAGGTTCACTGTGGAGCACTGGTCATAAAAACAGTCGTCCTAAGGTGTGGTCATGTTTTCTATCCTCCACTAATCACCATAAAGTTATCAAGTGTGTTACAAAAACATAAATTAAACAAAGAAACGTCTTCCTGTTCATTGTTTAAACAGTCGGTCTTGTACGTGAAGGTTTGATCGCAGCAGAGTTTAGTTTTATTTACAGAGAGGTAAAGATTTCACACGATGCATTTCATTGAGGACGACAAAGATAACGTTACTAACTGATATATTTTACCTCTACGTTAGATTTATTGTTCTGGATAAAGTTTTACAAGGCAGTAGCTGATGCTAGGTTATCTTAACGTTAGCTTGCTAACCTGAGAGGCACGTAGCTAATGACGAGCAGGTTGGAGGATTGAAGATAATTTATTGTTGATTTATTTTACAGATCAGTTAAAATAAACTCACCATGCTCTGTTCAGTCAAATACTCTACACAGAGTTGCTCTCTGCTTCAGCTGTGCTGAAAGTGAAACTTCAGTGAACGGCCATGACTTGAGTCTTCTGGCTCCCTCTGCTGGATACATTGTACAACTACAGCTGGTTCCAGCATCTTAGAGGTGGAAATTAGAAATGTTTGTATGGGAGCATGATGGGACGGTTATCACCGATATGATACGTCCCCATAGGTCTACATCGGCCTAAAATATCGGCCCTACCGATACATCGGTCAGGCTCTGTTGCATACCCCTGATTTAGATGGATGTCCATGTTTTGGTAGGTCTGCTGCAGCTGTGTCGTACTCTGTCCATTCTCTGTGCAGAGCGGAGAAGTGGGCGTGGCAAAGAGCGCTTGCAGGTGACTGAGAGCAGCGAGGCAGAGGAATCATGACATTCTGTTCTCTTTTGAGAAACATTGTTTAGAATATTGTAAGAGTGTGGGAACAGTTTAAAACGTCTTTATCTATCTATCTGTCTATCTATCTATCTGTCTGTCTGTCTGTCTGTCTGTCTATCTATCTGTCTGTCTGTCTGTCTGTCTGTCTGTCTATCTGTCTGTCTGTCTATCTGTCTATCTATCTATCTATCTGTCTGTCTGTCTGTCT